TGCATATGCTGGGTTTGGTCTTGGACTCAGATTTAGACTTAATCTTGAGCTTGGGCTAAGCTATGTTGTGCTAGGTTTAGCTTGTGCATGTGTTTGAGAATTGGGGTTGGATCGAGTTGTAACCCAATATTAGTATCCATTTTATGACTCATCTAGTTGGTTTATTTAACCATCATTATATACATATTTATTTATATATTTTAAGCACAAGGGAGGTTTAGACATTTGTAACTCTCATCTTTTGATGATGGTGTTGATGACCATATTAGTGGCCATAGATTTTCAACATTTGTAACTCTAGCCCTAATGGCTAAAGTTGATGGCCTTGGTTAATGACATTTGATAGCCCTATTGATGTATAGCCTTCATGGCTAGGGATTCCCCTACTTGTATAAATAGAGGCTTTTCCTCTCCAACTTAGTAGGATAATTTTTGGAGAGATTTTTTATGGATAATGGAGATAGTGTTTTAAGATAAAAAGTTAGAGATGTTTTTTTTCCCACCAAAGAAAATTTTTCCTATCTTCTTTTGCTAGCCCCTTTTATGGTTCTTGTTAGAGAAAGTGCAACTATTATCAAGTTCTCCGAAGCTATTCAGAAGGTGCTTCTGCATTAGTTCATTTCGATCGTCGTATCCTAGAAGACAGACGCCAGTATACCTCCAGCATCTATCAGGAGGCGATGAATCTGTTTTAAGAAAACTATGGTATCACACAAGTTTCAGTTTGCTTATTTTTTTTTATCATTTGTTCTTAAATTTTTCAAAATTTAGTTTACAAAGATGAGTTCTAATATTTAATTATCCATATTAATAATTTATTCCATTACTAATATAATCTAATTCATTTCTGTATTTTTAGTTGCGTAAATTATTATATGTATTTCATTTTTTAATAAAGAAATTTTTTTTGTCATTTCTATTTAATTCATTTTATATTTTTTTCTTGTATTTTTATGAAAAAATACCAACACTAAGTATTATTAATAATAGATGTATGGTAATATATTTGGTAAAATTAAAAAAAATAAATAAATTTGCATAAATTACCAAAACTATCTTTCTATTGAGCATAATTAAATTGTGTATGAAGTTTTTATAATTATAATTTTTCCTACCAGAATTTGTCAGATAACATAACAAATATTATTATTTTTATTATTATTGGTCTTTCTCCCTCTCTCTTCCATTTGTACTTTCTTTTTTCTTTATAATAAAAAGGCTTAAATTTTTATATATATATTTTTTAGATACATAAAAATGGATATGCAGATAGGTTACTCCAACATATCCACCAGGGAGTATTACCCCTTAGCACCTACAACATATCTGTAGGGAACCCTACCGCACCTACGTCGGGGCCGAAGCTTAGCCCCCCCGCGTGCTCCAGGTGCTAAGAAATATGTTTAACCCCAACAAGGGACTATGGAGACTCGAACCCAAGGCTTGAGCGAGGGATTCGAAAACCAACCCCCTGTTGGTTAAATTTTTATATATAGTTTGCTTGTTATGATGGATTTTACTTGTAGAAAGAACTTATGATAGTGGTAGCAAGGAATTTTGATGATTGGTTTTGTCTCTCTCCCCCTTGTTTTTTGTAACGCCCTCAAATTAATACAAAAAAAAAATCCATCACTTTAGACATGCATTGATATAAAAGAAACTGACCATTTCTATTCATCAGAGTAATTCTTACAACTGTATTACATGTTAACAACAAAAGCAAATGCCCTACGGGCTTACAGCTTTCTAAGTTAACACTTGGTTACAAAAGAAGGATACTAACTCAATACATATTAAGCCCTTGGCTTGAATTTACATGTAATACATCAAAATAGACAAAAGGAAGAGTCTTCAACTCTCATCATCATCCAAGTCATGTCCTTGGGGGTGGCATATTACCTATACCTGAAAATAATGTCCCATAAAGGGTGAGCCAACGCCCAGTAAAGATATGCTAAACACAGTATGAGCAATGACTAAGACATTAGCAATTGATAAATGTTCAACTTTCATAAACCAATTCATAATCCCTTTCCATTTCATGACCACTATGTTCATGTTTCATTTCAGTTTCCATTTCTTATCAATTTCACAATTTACAACAATGGCTCAGAACCTGGCCAACCACTTATATGAGACGATGACTCATATTAAACATTTCCCTTATACAATAGATAAACACATTGGTTATATCAACATCTCAACAGATACGCATACAAGCTATATCCACATTCAACAGATATGCATATTAGCTATATCAACACTTCCAATGACAAGCATATGAGCTATGTCAACACTTCCAAAGATAAGCATATAAGCTATATCAACACATTATCTGACAAGCATATGAGCTGTATCAGTGGAGTCCATCCCCTATCTCCTCCCACACAACATCTGGTTTAGAGGTCCATCCCCTATCTTCCCCTAAACCATGGAGTACATCCCCTATCTCCTCCCACACACACAACATATATACACAAAGGTCATATACGCAATCCATCAATACATAACGTTAATGTATTCTACCAACCGTCATACTCTATGACATATCCAATTGATTAGTTTTAGTTTGCCTAATCATCATGCATTGTCTACAACAATCAAAACTACCCTCCACCGGTAGTCCAAGCAATTATTTCTAAACAGATAATAAAAGCTCCAACAGATAAAAATATCAATGTTTTCAAAAGTGAGCGATTAATAAATCTAACTCCACAATTCAACCATATAACGAACCAATTTCATTATTTTCAACTCAATTCCATATAGCTACAATTTTCCCAAATTAATTATACTAATTAATTCATTCCACAAATTAGGGTTTTCTACCCCATTCCCCAATATTGACCCAATGGCCTATAAATCCATAACTAACAACAATATCATTATTTTGGAACCCAAAACACATACTTTTGAATCAAAATAACAAAACCCCTTTTTAACATTTTCAAGTCCTAACTTCCCAAAATCAACCATTTAACAAAATACCCAAATATCTAGGTCAAAACCCATAGTTGTGAGTAGGAATCCCTACCTCAAGAGATGACACCCAACGAAGAAGATGGTGGAAACGAACTTGCTCCAAACCATGAGTTTCTCGGATCAAAAGATAGCCCTCGACGATCAACAACCTTTTTGTAAAGGCCAAAGGTGAGGAAACAACTCTTGCTAGATCAATACCTAGAGAGAAGGCAAGGTTCTAGAGAGAGAAGCTCTCAAATGGCTTTTTAGAAAGTAAGCGAGAGAGAGAATGCAAAAAGTGATTTTAAAATGCCCAGCTGCCAACTGATATACGACATTCCCGCTCGAGCGGAGAACATAACGCTCGAGCGTCAAGAACAAAAATCTGGACACGCTCGAGCGCAAGAAGGCCCGCTCGAGCGCCAAGACACAAGAATAAAGCACATTCGCTCGAGCGCGAAAACCAGTCCGCTCGAGCGCAGATTTCCCCCTCCCAGAACTTATACCCAGAAAGTGTTACCCACTCGAGCGCCAACAAACCCGCTCGAGCGCTACCGCTCGAGCTTAAAGAAACCCGCTCGAGCGTAAAAATCACACCTGCAGAAGTTTTGCAGGGATACGAAATACTGGGGGTGGGCAATACCCGCTCGAGCGGAAGAAGACCCACTCGAGCGGACCGCCTAAAAACTGGGCAACAAGGAATTGAAACCAAGGCCTAACCAACCTGTAACAATTATGCCCAAAACATCATAAAACTCAATCAAGCGGAATTAAATGACGACAACAAGATAGATACAACTACGAACTTCACGGAACCGAGTCCGGAATACAACAGAACAGTAAAGGGACAACCGGGATCGCTATATTTACTATTTTTCTTTGTTTTTTATATTTTATTAGAAAGGTTTAAAATTTATCCAATTTTTTATTTTTATTTTTATAAATGTAGATTGGTTGCTGTGATAGACTTTAGAGTTGTAAAAAAAAGTTGGGGTGATGGTAGTAGTAATAGTTAAAGTACATGTTTTAGGGGTTAAGGCGATATGATCCAAAAAAATAAAAAATATATATATTTATCTCAATAAGTATATTAGGAAAATATTATTCATATTTGTAAAATTTGATTTGTCAATTGATAGTTAATTGATACAGTAAGATAAATTTAAATTGATATTAAATTGTAAGTGTTTGATATTTCTAAAATTTTATGTGATGGTCAACTGCCATGGACATGATTAGGTTAATCAATACAAATTGAATAACAAGTTACCAACGTATTTATGTAAATATTTTCAAAATTGATAAACAAATATCGTTAGTATTTTTTAATAATGAAAATAAGAAATATTTATGTATTTAATAAAAAATTTAAAAATAGAACATGAGTCATGTTATAATTAAAATTTCAACATAGATTAATGTTTTTAGTTAGGTCCAAGCGTAGGATTATATATAATTAAAATTTCATTTTGACTTTTCTTTTAAATTTTAAATTAAATGTAACTTAATATGGTTACAAATTTTGTTTTGAAATTCTATCAACAATCACTACAAGAAAACAGCCCAAATAACACGTAACTTTTTGCGATGGTATAGGTACCGTCGCAAAAAATGGTCTTTTGCGACGGCATTTTCAAACCGTCTCAAAAAATAGTCTTTTGCGATGGTGGTGACCCCGTTGCTAATGCATATATCACAAAAAAAAACATAAAAGATGTTTTGAAAAATTATTTTGAGAGAGAGTTTTGAAAAAAGTGATTGATTTGATGTGTATGAGAGAGAGATTTGTTTGGAAAACTTGTAAACCAAACAAGTTTTGGAAAAAAATTTGGGAAAATTTTGTTTAATTTGATTACTTTTGAAAACTTATTTGTAGAGAATTTTTCCCAAAATTTTTTGAGAAACACAAACCAAACAAGGCCTTACTGTCGCAAAAGCCTTATTAAAACGACGTCGTTTTATGTGATAGGATTCATCATTTGTGACGGTTTAAGTACGCCGTCACGAAAGGTAATGAAAATTTTCAATCCCGCTCATTTTAGCCTATTCACGGTCTTGTGTTTCCCCAAAACCCCCAAACCTTTCTGAACCAACCCAAAATCCCTAAAATCTCTAAAACCAAAATCCCCAAAAGCATCCGATCAAAAAAAAATAAAAAATCCCCAAATCCATTTTGAAGCAAAATCTCCAAAGCCCTTGAGCCAAAATTCAACGACGGTGACGAACGACAACGGTGATCGACGACGGCTAGCAGCTAGGGAGCAGCGAAGCAGAGTTAGATGACCTAGGGTGAATCACGAACCAACCAGAGGCCTAGGATCAGAAGCGACAAAGATCATATTATATACATATATAATATGTATGTATAGTGATATATAGGGAGAGAAAGTGAAGAAACACGTAAACTAATATGGTCCGTGTATGCAACTGAAGAACACAATTCTTCTTCTTCTTCTTCTTCTTCTTCTTCTTCTTCTTCTTCACTCTCCTCATTCCATTCACCATCGTTTTTCTTCGATTCGCAAATCGCTTCTGTTCCGATCGAGTCTCTCTTTGTCTCTACAAATGAAGAAGGAAGCTTCATCGATTTTATTGACCTCGGAAGGGCGCGAAGACGTCGATGAGTTCATCGGGGTGAGCCTTTCTTTTGCTTGGTTGGTTAGTGAGAAAATGTATATGATGAAACGAAATCAAATTCTTTGAATTTTTGTTTTTTTGAGTATTCGGCAGAGTTTCGTAGAAAAGCTGTGTTTTCATATTGTCAGACGAAGTGAGGGTTTATGTATTTTTTTTTAGATTAGCAAATCTAGACTTCAGAGATCATTGGATCTTTGGCCATATGATACTGCAGGTTGTGTGTTTGACTGCTATTTTATAGTTCACATCTTGTTTTGTTTTGATAATATTTAGGTGGAACGATTGCTAATCGTCTTTTTTTTTTCCCTTTAATTTGTTTTGTTTTTGGTTTATAGGTTGCAGGTCACTGGAGTTGGCGTTTTGCATTCTTTGGGGAGGCAATTGTGATGGTTCCATTTGCTATTCTAGGTTTTGTTATAAAACCTTTGCAGTTGAAAAGTTGATGTTTTGTTGGTTTTTTTTTTTTTTTTTGATAGCCGTCATAGACCTTAAAGGTGTGACACATTATGATTACTGTGCATGGGATCTTTTCAGTATAATTGCACTTTTTTCTTCTCTCTTTTTAGTTTACTATGGCATTATTATATAAGAACCAATGTACGAAAGCCAAGATAATGGGTGCTATTGAGAACATCTACAGTAATCCAATATACATCAAGCACATGTCACTGAATAGTTTTGACAATCTTGCTCCCACACAATAATGCCTCAATTTGCCTAGTTTAAATATTTTTATTGATTTCATTTGAATCCATAATAATCAACTTGATTACCTTGATAAAATAGGTGATCGACAGAATTTTATTCTGACCACTACTAAGCAATGTGGTTTTGACTCAAAGTTTCTGAATAGTATTTTGAATCAGTGATGCTGATCAATCCTTGTAATGGACTTAAAATAGAAATTTTTGATAATGGAAAACAATCCTTGCATTGTGTGTAGCAAATTATTGTCTTCTTTTTAAGAACAGAGTAATTTTTCTCAAGGGGTGACAATTTGTGTCTTTGGATTATTAGAGGTCATGACTTCATGATATGACAAGTGCTATATGCGTCCGGCCTTGTTGTGGGTGTTGAAGTCACAAGAATCAACCATTCCTCAAAAAAGTAGGGGGAAGGATACCTACCTACTACATCTCCTAGACTCTGCGGTGAGTGGGAAGCACTGTGCAAAATCAAATGGGAAAGACATAGCAAATGCACGTTTTTGAAGGACGTGTTTTTCTTTTGTTATGGCATTTCAAATGGATTGGGGGGTGTAACAACCCTCGTTACGGTTTAATCAGTTAAGAAAATATTCCACTAGGATAACTTAATGGGTCTGTTCAAAAATAATTTGAATCTGAATTTGTTAACAGCCGAAATTGATATGATTATCTGATATAGTCCAATGTGAAGTAATTAAAAAACCTTTTGAAAAATTTATTCGATTAAATTAACTAAACTTGAATTATGATATTTGGTTATTTATTATATAATTTTTGTTATCCATATTACCTATATAAATATTTTTCCACGACCTATTATATATATGTATATGCATCTACTTATAAAGACCGTAATTGGATCTGGCCACTCTAAATTTGGATATGGATCATTACCAGGCCAACACTTCATACTCCTTTTACCAAATCTGATTAATTAGATTGGATTGGGATTAAAATTAAATCTACTAATAGGCCTAATTCCTTCACTTCAGTCTTCAACCGTATTTCCTCGGTCAAGGGCTATTCAATATTTGATTGAAAGTCAGTTAATGATAACTGGGGATTTTAGCTTTAAGCTTTTCTTGTTCATACATTTATTCAGCTTATAGTTTCCTCTCTTGCCTGTAATAATTTGATTGATACTTGATATAAATACAGATGACTTAACTGGTAAAGATGGCAGGCTATCGGTAAAGGAAGAGTTCATTGATCAAGGCTCAGAAGGACCTTCCAAGTGATGGCTCTCTTCCTGCTGCTCATACTCTGTTGTTTATGATAGCATATGGTTGGGAATGAATTTATGCTGCCTTCTAAGTAAATGTCATTTGTGTTGTTGGATTTTACACAAATTTTCAGAACAAAAAGAAATGATGGTAGTTAGTACACTTGTTGTCTGATTCAACTAGCTTTGTAATGTACTCATGATTCTAATTATTTGTCTTTTTATTTCTTATAATGAAAAAGCAACCAAACTCTGCTCATGAAGATTGTGATTTTTCTACTTGGATTGGATGCAGTTAGCGTAAGTGAAATAGAGGCTCTTTATGAACTATTTAAGAAGATTAGCAGTGCAGTAATTGATGACGGTTTAATCAACAAGGTTCGTCTATATCTTTGTGGAAAATTATTGTTGCATGTTTTAACATGTTAAGATGATATGCTATTGTAGTACTGCTCTTAATAACCATGAATTTGATGCTATTCTTTATATTTTCTAGTGTCAATGTGTTGTTACCTCTCCACAATCTAACTCTTGTTTCTTGAATGCTTTCTTCTATATAATATTGCAGGAAGAGTTTCAATTGGCGTTATTTAAGACGAACAAAAAAGAGAGCCTGTTTGCTGATCGGGTATTTTATTTTTGACTACTATTATTCTTGTTGCTCTTGTTAATGCTCACCTTAACTAGACATTCTCTTAAACTAGTTTGCATGTGTTCTTTTTCTTGCACTGCATTTTCTAGAGCATCATGAATTATGAACTTTTCCATACACAGACTTTGTTAGTGATAAAAAAAAAAAAAAAAAAACGTGCATATTATATATGTAGGTATAAGCACAGTCATGTATAGATGCATGTTTATTTGTGTGTTTGTGCCTGTTTTAAAAGCTGCAGACTAGGAATATAGAAATATTTGTGTATTTCTATGTTGAAATGTGAATTATGTTGGAATCACTCATCATTATGTTGATATATAGTTTATAGATGCTTCAGAACAAATATGCTAAATCTTCTAAAGCTATTCTCATCCTAATTTTTTAATAATTTCAGGTATTTGACTTGTTTGACACAAAACATAATGGCATCCTAGGCTTTGAAGAATTTGCCCGCGCACTCTCTGTATTTCATCCGAATGCCCCTATCGATGATAAGATTGAGTGTATGCTAGAATGCTCTACAATATTGCTATGATGATGGGAATTTTTTGTTGTAGTTCATTTAGTCTGAAATTTCTAGTTTGCATTTTCATTACACTAATAATTTTGTGTTGCAGTTTCGTTTCAACTGTACGATCTCAAGCAGCAAGGTTTTATTGAGAGGCAAGAGGTAACTACTTGCATTATCATGAACTGTTTTGAGACCTAAATTAATTAAATTTGGACTTTCTATAGGCTGTGATGGCTTCCATTATTTTCACTTTTCTGTTTCACTGGTCTTAATTAATACTCTATGATCACTGAAATCTACTCTATTGTTTTCTTATTTGGTCTAGTGAATTATATGAATTGCTAATAGATACCAATATCTTATCCCATGAAAAATCCATAAACCGTGACTTGACTTGAGAGGCATTGCTGAAAAAAGTTTGCTTTGATGTTTAATTTTCAGTAACTTTTCCATTTGCTAAGACACAATTTGTTTTTTTTCCATGGAGCACAATTCACATAGGGACAATACGTACACAGAAAAATATCAACTAAGGTAAGAAACTATAAAGCCAAAATATGAACTACCATTGTTGGGTGCGAATATATTCTCAAACGTTCTTCTAAGCTGTATTTCTTTATTATTGGGTTGGAACCTTAAAAACAATGTAGGAACTGTAGGTTGAATGGATAAAATGATTGTTGTATTTTTACTAGTTGTTTTGTTGAAAGTTTACTTTGCAACAAAGATTGAATGAAATAGAAAAGGTGTACAAGAGGAAAATAATTCAGAGAAGGCATCAGACCATTATGGACCTAGTGGGTGTCGACTTTTTATGTTGGCCAATAATTTGAGTGACATAGAATAAGCATATGTCACTCTCATGTGAGTGATTTTGCGCTAGAGCAATTCTTGTTTGAGCTAAGCCAATGGAAAGGAATTATAGTTCGCCAATATACTTTGGTGTTGGGCATACTATGGTTGAATACTAGATGTTAAGGCATTTGGTTTAATGGTTTTCCTCTTTGTTCTCTTTTCGTAGATTTAGCCTTCAATAAGAAAGATGTGACACAGTATAGTTCATGTTATTTGTCTTTAATGTCTGTCATATTTTTTCAGTGTTTTAGATTTTTAATCGACTTCCGAAATGTAGGTGAAGCAAATGGTAGTGGCAACTCTTGCAGAATCTGCTATGAACCTTTCAGATGATGTTATAGAGAGCATCATTGACTAGGTGCTCCCTCAACCTGAGTTAATTAAAGTAACATCTATTTATCAATGTAAGAGATTTAGCCTAATAATCCACCAGATAAGAAAACCCAAACCTGAAGAAGATAGACAGAGATGGGAAGCAATCTATTCATGATCTAATTTTTGCCAACCCATATCTCACTTTGTTAAAAGAAATTGTTATAAATTGTGACATGTATGGACATAATGTTCTTTCCTCAAAACAATCAGTTTTAATGCCATCAGAGTCGTGAGTCAAAAATAAATAAATAAATATTCCTAGAACCTTTGGCTGTAACAAAAGTATGAATCTTTATTCTGCCAATTTTTTATATATATATAATAGTTAATTTTTTATGTTTTTCTGTAATTAAAATATTGACACAATTATATTGTCATTAATTATTTTTATTTTGATATTTTCAGATATTTCTGGAGTAGCAGTTTGCTTCTTGTGGAATGCAGGCGTGTAAAGACTAAAATATTAATCCACAGAAGAATCATGACGAAAACTTTTGTTTTTAATTTACGTTATTTAGATTTGTGAACAACATTATGTATGTATTATGCAATATTATGTATTGAGATAATTTTGCTAATGTATTGTTATGAATGGAAGAATATTTTAATTATGGATGAATTTTTATTTATATACTGGACTTTTTATATTATTATGTAATTATTGATTTTTTTTTATAGTTATTTTTCATTTAATACAGGTCATTTTCATATTTTTAGTAATTTTATTACAGTTTTTTTTTTTTTTTTGAGACGGCAGCACACACACCGTCTCAAAAAGAAAAATAGAACCATGGTTTTTTGCGACGGCAGTAATGCTATTGCAAAAGATAGGGCATTTGGTTGAAAAGGAAGATTTTTAGCGATGGTGTTATTTACCATCGCCAATAGTACTTTTAGCGACGGTATTTGTGCCGTCGCAAATAAACCTTTAGCGACAGTATTTGTGCCGTCGCAAATAACCCTTTTAGCGACGGCAACACAGTGCCGTCTCAAAAAAACTCAGATTTTCACACGTTAATGGCGACAGCATTTTTCCGTCGCAAAAAGGCATTTTTGCCGTCGCCTTTTTTTGCGACGGTGTTATACCGTCGCTAAAACCCTTTTGCAACCCCCTTTGTTGCGACCCCCTACTTGCCGTCGCAAAAGGCCAGTTACCGTCGCAAAAAATCTTTTGAGACAGCGTTTTGAGTATTTGCGACGGCATTTTACCGTTGCAAAAAAACTATTTTCTTGTAGTGAATTTTATTTATTTTTCATTTTAGTTAGTTATGGCTAAATAGGCCAACAGTTTTACACCACATGTATATTTTATTTTTCAAAAAAATTATAAATTGTAATTAAGATTATTAAATAAATATAAATGTGGCTTAAATATTGATAAAATATATACATATATATATATATATATATGGCTGAAATTCCTTATGACTTTCTATGTAAAGTTTTTTTTTTTTTTTAATTTAGAATTATAGATGTCGAATATAAATATGGATAGTGTTAATAATAGATTCCTCAAATAGTTCATAAATTAATAAATTTAAAAGTTTCTTCATATTAATTAAGGATTAAAACATTAAATGGAAGAACCAATTATAACGTACCATGTGAATTTCTATAATTTTTAAATTCAAAAAATTGTGAAAATAAAGTTAAAATTTTGAGGGATAAAGATCAAAACGGTTTTACTGATATATAATAGTATAGATAGATTATACTGTCCTTATAATTAAAAATAAGAGTTAATTACATTAACAGTTCCTATAATTTATAATTTGTGTTATTTTGGTCTTTGAGTTTTTAATTGTGATACATTTGATCCTAAATTTTAAACATTGTTTCAAATAAGGACAATTGAAGATATCATTGCTCAATTTTAAGGCCAAAGTCATCAATTTGATAACATATAAACAAATTTGACAAAAATAAATGTCAAAAAAATATTTTGAATTTTTAAAAATTATTTCTACTCACCAAAGATAAAATTATGTAAAATTTTTACACATTATTTATTTATTTTTACCAAATTAATTTTTATTATGTGTTTGGATAATGATCATGTAATGGATAGTTGTTAGGCTTTCAATGTGTAATCGATATATTTAATATATAAAATGTTTTTAATTTTAGATTTTTTCATTTAATGGATTGGTTTAATCGTAATATCAAAGTTATCGCCATGTTTAACTTTTAGAAAAATAGAAACTAATTTAATGAAAATAAAAATAACCACCCATTACTTGATCATCATCCAAACACATAATAAAATTAATTTGCAAACAAAATAAATAAATAAATAAATGTGTAAAAATTTATCAATTTTATCTTTGGTGGTTAGAAATAATTTTTAAGAATTTAAAATATTTTTTGACATTTATTTTTTTCAAATTAATTTATATTTTATCAAATTGACGATTTTGCCATTGAAATTAAGCACTGATATATTTAATTGTTTTTATTTGGAACAAGATTTAAAATTTATGGTCAAATATATCACAATTGAAACGTTAGGGACCAAAGTGATATAAAGCCTAAACTATAGAGAGCTTTAATGTAAATCGGCTCAAAAATAAATATATCAAACTCTTTCCATAATATTTTTCACAACCACCAAAGTAAAGAACCTAATTAATTCATATTTTTTACAACCACCAAATTAAAGAACCTATTAAATTTTCTTTTATAAACACAGTTTGTGAAATCATTAAAGTGATAATCAATAAACCTATTAAGAGCTCGTTTGGGAGATTTTTTGGTTCAAAAAATAAATAAATAAATAATAAATAAATAAAATTTAACTCAATAAGACAAAATATCGCATCTAATCCATAATCATTACACTTTTTCTCTTTCTTTCTCTTACAAAAAATCAAAAAGTCATTTCCCAAACGAGACTTTTTAGCCTCAAACTAAAAAAATCAAAAACCCAACCCACTTCCCAAACGAACTCTAATTAGGTATTGAAGCACTTCCCTAAGCGAGAATAATTTCTCTAAATTTGAATCAATAATGTTAGGAATAAGAAATTAAATACATAATGTGATATAGGATTCGTTTGGGAAATGAGTTGGCTTTTTAGTTATTTTAGCTTGAAACTAAAAAGTCTCGTTTGATAAAGGTTTTTCAACTTTTTTGACTTTTTATGAGAGAAAAAATGCAATGATTATGAGTTGGATGTAATGTTTTACCTTATTGGGCTAAAAAACTTATTTTGCCTTTTTGTGTCTAAAATAGCCCCAAACTCTACCCAACTCATCTTCCCAAATAGAGGCATAATCCTCTCACAATGAGTGGGTCCTACATGCAAGGGTGGATTCTTTATTAACATATATGGGACCCATCTCTTATAAGAGGGTTGTATCTCATTCTGTTTTTAATTTCTATATCCTTTACTCAACTCTGAATAATTTCATGTAATTATTCTTTAAGCATTGAATAATTTCTCTTCCTAAACTTTTTTTTTTTTTGGCCAAATCAGTAAACGATTATTTACAAATATGAAAATAATTACATGAAATTGGATAATTATAACTCAACAAAACATATCTACAAGTCCAACAATCAGCCAATACAAATATAAAACCTTCAAAGAGAAGAATGTGAAACTAGTCTCTATAAGTAGCGTTGCACAACCATTAAACTAAAGAACCTGATTAATTTTAAATCAAACTTTCATGGATAAATTGCACGTTGCCCCTTTTAAGTTTGACCATTTTTTTACTTTAGCCTTTAAAGTTTATTTTTTCCCACATTGGCCCTTAGGCCTCGTTTGGGAAGCGACCCATTTAGCTAAAAAGTCAAAAAGTCACTAAAAAAATCAAAAAGCCAACAACTCATACCAAAAAGTCAAAGATTATTTTTTCTCTACTTTTTGCACATCTTTTTATAAAAAGCCAAAAAGTCATCCTAAACATATTAGTTTTTTTTAACTTATATTTTAGCAAAATAGCCAAAAAGTTACTAAATTAGTCTGTTCCTAAACGAGGCCTAATGTTTCAAGTTTTTTTTTTCAGTTTATTCCAAAAGTTAGTTTATATTCAAAATTCGATAGAAAATACCATAATAACTGTTACATTACATAAAAGATATATTATTGGAGTTCAAGTTTATGTCAAAGGTATGAGTCATATATAATAAAATTTTATGCTACGTGATTGTCAATGTGTTATTTTTTGTCTAATTTTTAACAGAAACTAACTGTAGGAGTAAAGTGAAAAAACTTAAAATATGAAGGGTTAAAGCGAAAAAAAAAAAAAATTTAAGAGCCAAAATATAAAAATGACTAAAGATAAAAAGGGGAAAATGTAATTTACCCTACTTCTAATCACAAGGCTTTTGAAATCCTATTAAATCCATTTAATACGGGTAGATTTGATTTTAAATTTCCTTTTATAATCACATTGTAAAATCATTAAGGTGATAATCACCAAACATATTAATTAGGTATCGAAGCACTTTCCTAAACTTTTTTTTTTTTTTGCCAAATCATTAAGAGATGTTTTATATGAAAATAATTACATGAAATTGGATAATAATAATTGAATAACACATATCTACCAGCCTGAGAGCATATCCAATGGTTGTTGTTATAATACCACTACTATTGCTATAATTTGGCAATGAATAGTGCTATTTTGCCAAATTATAGCAATGGTGCTCTAATGCTCACTTGCTATTTTGACAATTCTCAACCAACTTTCCCTCCTAGTTTGTAGGTGTTGTTTGGATATAGGTTTTTTTGTAATTTTATTTTTGTTTATTTTTTGTCTTTTATGACATTTTTTTAACTATTTGTAAAAAAATTATATATTTATATTATACCCGACTAGACAAATATAAAAAATGAAAAAAAAATTGGAAAAATTAAATTTGAAAAATTATTTGATTTTCTACTATTTCAATTCTGTTTTTTCAAATGAATTTGGGGCCACAAATATGTTCATATTTGCTGATGTGGCATGTTTGGCAATTGCTATTTTACTTGCCAAATTTGAGAACAGCTATGGCATTTGCCATCTTTGGCAAGTAAAATAGCAAGCCATTAAAGACTTACTTTTTGTCACTATAGCTAAATTATAGCTTTGGCAAGTGTTTTGAAAGCTCCATTGGAGATGCTCTAACAATTACTCAATAAAAGTATACAATCTTCATAATAAAAGAGAAATAATTGGTCATCAAACTCCTAATCATAAGATTTGAACCCACAATTTTACCCTATTAAACCACTAAATATGAGCGAACAATACTTTATCTACTTAAAATCTTATTAAAAATATTCTTGTCCAAATATCATTGGAGGTTTAAATATATATATATATATATATATTTTTGACAACTAATCACATTTCTTCATTTTTATTTTTAGTAAGATTATTAATGTGTGTAGAATTATTTAATGCGAATGAGCAGGGTTAGGCTTTTCTCTAATCCAAATCTGAACTAGTTGGTTTTGTGTGGCTTGTGGGACCAACCATGGGTCATGTTTAAATCATTCATTTAGTAAATTTTTACATGTATATCATTTAAAAAATAATAATAATTATATCCGATAATCATAACATGTTCAATTTATTACATTTATTATCAAAAAATTGGATGGTCTATTTTAAAAAGAGTAATACTAGGTTTTATA